ATTAACAACATGAGGTTAGATTTATATCTGCCATTTATTCAAATTGGTTCTCATGGATTTAAATACATAACAAAAGAGTGATAAAGAAGATGTCAATGGTATTTCCGAAAAAAATCTACACAATCCACAATGGACAGAACGACATGTTTTTGAGGCAAAAACCAGTAAGGAAAGTTCAAAAATCGGACGGGGCCGATTATATGATACCCTTCACCATTTTGGGTACCTACAAGAGATGTTAATAACTACAATATCCTGTAGATAGAATATATATAGAATCGAGCGAAATTTAATGTGTTATCCACATAGATATTTGAACCAGATGAAAAGTAAAATTACGTATGGGAGCTATATATAAACACATGGACCTAATTGAGCACCATTTGTTTTTGTTATCACTCTATATTCAATTTAATATCCTCTGCCAAATTTCGTGTAAATCGAACAAACATAGGCCCTCCTGGGTGTAATTTACATAAAATCGAACGAAACCAGTAAGGAAAGTTGTAAAGTCGGACGGGCCGACTATATGATACCCTTCACCACTTTGGGAATATTCAACAGATTAATTCTAACAGATGTCCGTCAGTAAAAAATGTCGTTCTGCAACCCAAACTAAATTTTTAATTTGGTCAGATATAGAGTTGCTATAGATATAGTATATATATATAACACACATCATTCAAGACCTAATTCATTACGCTGTGCCAAATTTCGTGCAAATCGAAAGATATATAGGGTATTCGGTGGACCATTTACATTAAATCGGACGAAAATATATATGAGAGGTATATCTAAATCTGGACCGATTTTCAGGAAACATGGCAAATTTCGTGCAAATCGAAAGATATATGGGGACTTTGGTACACCATTTACATTAAATCGGACGAAAATATATATAGGAGCTATATCTAAATATGGACCGATTTTCATGAAACTTAACACACATCATTATGGACCTAATTCAGTACTATATGCCAAATTTCGTGCAAATCAAAAAATATATAGGCACTTTGGTGCACCATTTACCTTAAATCGGACGTAACTATATATGGGAGCTATATCTAAATCTGAACCGAAATTGGCACATATTATTCTGGAACTAATTCAGTACGCTATGCCAAATTTCGTGCAACTCGAAACATATATAGGGACTTTGGTGGCCCATTTACCTAAAATCGGACGAAAATATATATGGGAGCTATATCTAAATATGGATCGATTTTCATGAAACTTAACACACATCATTATGGACCTAATTCAGTACTATATGCCAAATTTCGTGCAAATCTAAAAATATATGGGCACTTTGGTGCACCATTTACCTTAAATCGGACGAAACTATATATGGGAGATATATCTAAATCTGAACCGATTTTCTCGAAAATTGGCACATATTATTCTGGAACTAATTCAGTACGCTATGCCAAATTTCGTGCAAATCGAAACATATATAGGGACTTTGGTGGCCCATTTACCTAAAATCGGACGAAAATATATATGGGAGCTATATCTAAATCTGGACCGATTTTCAGGAAACTTAACACACATCTTTCTAGACCTAATTCAGTACACTGTGCAAAATTTCGTGTAAATTGAGAGATGTATTGGGATTTTGGTGCACCAATTACCCTAAATCGGACGAAACTATATATGGGAGCTATATCTAAATCTGAACCGATTTCTCGACAATTGGCACACATTATTATGGAACTAATTCGGTACGCTATGCCAAATTTCGTGCAAATCGAAACATATATAGGGACTTTGTTTCCCCATTTACCTTAAATCGGACGAAAATATATATGGGAGCTATATCTAAATCTGAACCGATTTTTCCCAATTTCAATAGGGTTCATCCCTGGGCCAAATAAATGATAATAATTGCGACCTGTACTTTGTTTACAATTTAACATGGACAGACAGACGGACGGACGGACATGCGTAAATCGACTCAGAAAGTAATTCTATGCATATTCTCAAAAGGAACCATGGGTCTATATATCGATTCCTTTTGCCTGTTACAAACATATGCACAAATACATAATACCCTGTACCACAGTGTGGTGAAGGGTATAAAAATTACGATATAAATACAAAATCCAAAATTCGTGTGTGAGCTATGTCAAAACATGGACCTACATTCATAATTTTCTGTATAGATGTATGCCAGCATCCATATACATCTGTGTCAATTTACAGTCAATTCGGCGAGAAAAAAAGGTGGACAAAACCTTCAAAATACAGAAAATGGGCGGGATTTTTATATTTCAAACATGAATCTATATCGAAAATAATCTAGAAATATGCGTGTTTTTTGACTTTCAAAAATCCGAAATGCCAGTTTACGGCTAAATATTTAAATATGCCGAAAATGCCCAGAAACCAATTTACACACGTTTTGGTGGGGAATCCCGACTAAATCCGTCAAAATACCGAATATGTAAAAAATATTGATATGGGGGCTAAATATTTTTTTCAACCTCCATGAACCCAGAATGCTACATTACAGCCACTTTAATGGGAAAATGTGGCTAAAGCAGTCCCGATGATTTTTGCAAACATGCTGTTTATCCCTCCAAGAACTGCCTAATTACGGCCTATGGCTTTAACATAAGCGAATGTCGAATCTATGCTTCAAAATTATAATTATTGATAACACTGAGACACAGCATCGAGGTCATGGTTTAGGGGATTCCTTATGGGAAATGAAAGACTTTGGCGAGTATACTAAGAACCCTGAACGAAAAATTCGCCATAAGTTAAGTTTGTGAGCTATAGCCTGAATTCTTGTCTTTGTGCATATGTTTGTAACAGGCAAAAGGAAACGTGATAGACACATGGTTCCTTTTGAGAATATGCATAGAATCACGTTCTAAATCGATTTATGCATGCCCGTCCGTCCGTCTGTCTGTCTGTCGATGTTAAATTGTAAACAAAGTACAGGTCGCATTTACGATCCGAATTGGATGAAATTTGGCATAGATCGCGTATTCGGCCCAAGGACGAACCCTATTGAAATTGGGAAAAATCGGTTCAGATTTAGATATAGCTCCCATATATATATATTTAACCGATTTAATGTAAACGGTTCCTATATATAATTCGATTTGCACGAAATTTGGTACAGCCTAATCATTTAGGTCTAGAATGATGTCTGCCAAGTTTCGTGAAAATCGGTTCAGATTTAGATATAGCTCCCATATATAGTTTCGTCCGATTTCATGTAAATGGTGCACCAAAGTCCCTATATATCCTTCGATTTGCACGAAATTTGGTATAACGTACTGAATTGAGCCTAGAGTGATGTCCGACAAATTTTGAGAAAATCGGTCCAGATTCAGATATAGCTCCCATATATTGTTTCGTTCCATTTCATGTAAATGGTGCCCCAAAGTCCCTATATATCTTTAGATTTGCACGAAATTTGGCATAACGTACTGAATTGAGCCTAGAATGATGTCTGCCAAGTTTGGAGAAAATCGGTCCAGATTTAGATATAGCTCCCATATATAGTTTCGTCCGATTTCATATAAATGGTGCACCAAAGTCCACATATATCTTGCGATTTGCACGAAATTTGGCACAACGTACTGAATTGAGTCTAGAATGATGTCTGCCAAGTTTCGTGGAAATCGGTCCAGATTTAGATATAGCTCCCATATATATTTTCGTCCGATTTAAAGTAAATGGTGCACCAAAGTTTCTGCATATCTTTCGACTTGCACGAAATTTGGCATAACGTACTGAATTGAGCCTGGAGTGATATCTGCCTTGTTTCGTGAAAATCGATCCAGATTTAGATATAGCTCCCATGTATAGTCTCGTCTTCATGTAAATGGTGCACCAAATGGTCCTTCGATTTGCACGAAATTTGGCATAACATACTGAATTGAGCCTAGAGTGATGTCTGTCAAGTTTCGTGAAAATCGGTCAAGATTTAGATATAGCTCCCATATATAGTCTCGTCCGATTTAATGTAAATGGTGCACCAAAGTCCACATATACCTTTCGATATGTACGAAATTTGACATAGCGTACTGAATTTAGTCCAGAGTGATGTGTGACAAGGTTCGTGAAATCGGTTGAGATGTAGATACAGCTCCCTTTTAAGTAATTGACACACCAAGGAATCAGTAGGATAGGAACAAAACGTACTGAAATTAGTATATCCTAACCTGTGACAAGTTGCGTTGGAATCGGTTCATATTTGGATATAGCTTCCATATATATTTTCGTCCGATTTAAAGTAAATGGTGCATTAAACTCCTCATGTTTGTCAGATTGTCTGAAATGTTGCTGAAAGTGAGCATAGAATTACGTAGATCTAGGTAGATTCACATTTAGTTATATATCACATATTTTATTTCATCCAGTTTCATGTTAATAGTCCTGTTTAATATACCCATAGTGGTGAAGGGTATCATATAGTCGGCCCCGTCCGACTTTACTACTTTCCTTACTGGTTTTTTTATCATTGTTTGCCGCTATTCCATATTATTTTTGAGACAAATCGAATGTTTTCAGACAAATCGAATGAGGAATATTTTCCTTTTATCCCAGAACCCTGTGCATCCTTTTCGTCCTTAGTTTCTTGAACTGTAATCTAAACACCACAAGATGTGTGTGTTTGTGTGTGTGGTGATATGTATATGCATATCACTTGGAAGCTAAAAATGTTGCTAATCAATATGATTAACAGTATTTAGAGATCCGGACTTGTCCTCCGCGATTATTAGACTTGGACCATTATTTATTATTTCAAGCTGAATCTATTTTCTCATATATTTTTTTTCCATTGAAACCGAATTATTTCACTGCCCTCGTAAATAGGTTAACCGCTTTATATGCCTAGACATACAAACATACATGCATATAATTTCCATGGTATACCGATAAATATACATAAATCTACTTTTTTTGGCTTTGTTCTAAGAAATTTAATTTCCTTTCGTTATAAGTGTTAACATTTTTCTATTTTTATTTTCGTTATATTACAGACACATACCGACACACCACACTCAACACTTACCTACATTGGTGTCGATGAAGTTACAGCACATGTGGCAGCCACTGAAATACCCAGTGGACGTCTGGGAGGTTTACATCAGCATGACGCACGAAAATGGCGTGAATTTTTCCTTCACTACGAACCGTTCTATCAGCAGTGTACGGGTGCAGCACAACGTCTGGTGGCAGCCTTAAATGATATACGCTTAGCCGACCTGCAAGGTCTGCCAACCAGGCGTCAATTGTATGCCCAACATCGGGCATTGAGTCGTGCCCTGATGGATTCTGAATTACATAATTTGCGCAAGCGTAGTGCGACAACAATGGTACGTCTACAGGAATTGGCCAACACTATCAACAGCAACAATAACAGTAGTGGCATTTACAACAACGGCAACAACAACAACACAAATAAACTTAACAGTTATTGCAGTCTAAAGAGTAAGGGAAATTTAGTTGGTAGCTATTATGGAGCTGCCAATGGTGGCGCTGGTACCCTCAATCGCAATAAGCTCATGTTTAGTACAAGCAGTAGTTATAGCTTTAATTATCAAGGCAACCAAAATAATAAAAATAACAACAACAACAACAATTCGATTAGTCACAATGTTGCGGGAGCACCAACAACAGCCATAACCAAATCTTACCAACCACTAACATCTTCTTCGCCATCATCAACGTCATCGTCGTTGTCCTCCTCAACTGCCACAAATCCCAAGTCCTGCATTTATACAGCCACGTCGTCCATTAACCCAACAACAACTAGTCGTTTAAGCGCCACAACTGCCAGCACCATAAGCGGCCTAATGAATTATTGCGTTGGTGGCGGTGCTAGTGGTCCATCTCAGCCCATCGCCAGTAACATCGATGTTGCAATCCGTCTCCAAAAGGTAACATTGCTGTTCAATGAAATTGATCGTGCCGCCAAGCGATTGGAACAGCTCACGGAACAACGTCGCGAACATTTGCGCGAATTAACACGGCAACGTGCTCTTGAAGATGAAATTAATGAGGTAAGTCCACCATTAAGTTGTAACAGTAGTAGGACTTAGTAGTAGTTGCATTACATTGTCACACGCTGTGATGCTGGCCGGGATGATGATCAAGATGATGTATGTCCAAATGCCAGCCGGTCCTAAAGTCTTGCACAAAATCACAGTTTGTCTTGTCATCTTAACAAAGATGATTGATCCTAAAAATTCATTTTCACTTTTTTCTTTAATAGAAAATCGATTAGTTTGAACTACTGGTGTAAGTCCATCAGAAGGTCAGTAAAATTTTTATTTTTTTTTTTTTTTTTTTTTTTTTGCATTACAATTAATTACACCGTGCAACAAAAAAATCCTTTTGGACATTAAAGCCCTTGGAGAGTAAGATTAGACCCCTAAGGGAGAAATACGCCATAGTTCAAGTTTTTGAGTTCTGAAATGGCATTTCTTCAATCAAATCGAATGGCAAATGTAAAACATATCATTCATCTATCACGAGTCCTTGAGCGCATTTTTCGTCCTTATTTTCTTGATACCTCAAGGCGAGATTTTTTTGACCTACAATATCACTCATAAGAGCTATACAAAAAATCAATATTCCTATGTTTTCATCGTCCTTTACCCGACCCAAATTACAAACACTTCTGTTGGCAAATGCGATTCTCTGTCGATTTAGCCATGTCCGTCTATCTATCTGTTGATATCACGATAGAGATCGCAATATTTAACATAGAGCATTGAAATATTTAACTGGCATTGGTATTACTCCTAGGATGTTTGCATAGCTTCCATATAATGGTACCGACCAATTTTCGGTGTTTTGAAGGTTTAAATCTCTTTTTCCAACTAAAAATGCTTTGATAACTGACATTTCCCTCATATGAAGCCCCCCAAATTTTCGGTACTTTAAGGCTGTTATTTTGCATTTGTGTGTTTATAAATCTGAACAGAAAATGAATATTATAGGTCCATGTTTTGACATAGAGGTATAGGTAGGTAACATTCGTTTTATTTATGGCGGTACCAATATATATAAATCTGTAACTACCTCCAAGTTGTAGTTCTCTAGTTCCACAGTAGTCCGACTCTACTTGCGCATTTATATCATCAGCTTGGTTTTCTCGCCGTTTACTGCCAATCCCACTTTGGCATACTCCTTCTCAATTTGTTCAAAAGTGGCTATTACCGCTCGCAATGTTCGACCCATTATGTCGATGTCGTCGGCGTAGGCCAGTAACATATGCTGTTTGGTACATATAGTGTAATTTCTGTTCTCATTTGCATGTCGTATGACCTTTTCCAGCAGGATGTTAAGCAGATCACAAACTCTCACCTTGTCTGAAACTTTTTTCGGTATTGAAGCGCTCCGAAAGGTCCTTTCCGACATTAACTACTGACCACTTAAAGTTATCCTACATAGCCGAATTAATTTTGCAGGAATACCGAACGCAGACATGGTTTTAAATACCTCTGAATGGATAGGGCCGTCGAATGCGGCTTTATAGTCGACGTATAGATGGAATGTGTCTATGTGTTTTTCGTGGATCTTTTCCAGCATTTGGCGCAGAGTGAAAATCTGGTCAATGGTGAATTTGCCAGGTCTGAAGCCGCATTGGTATGGTCCAATACACAGCACGCTGGATAGCACTTTATATGCGATGGAAAAGAGAGGGCTCCGAAAGGTCCTTTCCGACATTAACTACTGACCACTTAAAGTTATCCTACATAGCCGAATTAATTTTGCAGGCTGATAACTCATCAGCACCTGCTGCTTTATTATTCTTAAGCCGATT